GGGGGGGGGGGGGAGATGTTAGAAAGTCAGTGTATGTATGAATTTGGCTTAATTCCAATTTTTGAAGGAATATAGAAACTCCAATTGATAAAATGTAGAGAAGTTCAAAGAAGTATGATTGTACACATCAAAATTAGTTTTACCACATTTCACTTATCCAGTTTCGTCTCTCAGTAAAATCTAATTTATATTTTTTCATGAATTTTGATATTTTTTTTTCACAAGCTTTCTGCCTTTTTTTCTAATTGCTGTTATTCTTATTTGGTATTTATTTTATTAAATATGCTAATATATGCTCTTTATTTAGAAGTGATTTTTAATTATTTTTTTTTTTTTAATTTTTATTATTTTTGTTCTCAATTTTCATTTTGTTTTTATTTTTGTTTTTTATTTTATTTATTTAGATTTTCGACGGCCTCTGAAGTGCACTGCTTTAACTGGCAACTTAATTCGAGTGATGGTTAAACCAACCCTAATTCCATTGCCTGAGCATGAATCTGAGTGATGTAATAGCACTAATATTCATGATCAAACTTACTAAACCTTTGCTCTTTTTCCAAACCAAAGATACAAATATGTAGCAATTTCTTAGTTAAAGCTTAAGTTATAATTAAGATGTTGTAGAGAATATATATATAATATATTTTGGTCATGATAATGAAAGTCCTATTAGCATTTAATAGTCAGGCAATCATTAATTCATTTTTTTGATTAAAGCTTGACTACTAGTTAAAATTATCATTTCGAATTACAATGTATGATAAACATGATGATAGTTTTGGTAATAGCTGTATAAGAGATTGCTGAATGTTTGCTCAGAATTTTACTTTATGTACTTTAATTTGCCTAATTTTCCAGTTTTTTAATTTGTTTTTAAACAACACAAAAAATTATTTTGCAATACAAATTTAGATTTTATAATTTTAATTTCTTTCAGAAGTGAGAGAATTTAATGGGAAGTAGTTATCAAGGAAGAACATGTAAATAAAATGACAGAATCAAATTGAATTGCTATGTACTTGTTTTGTATATTGATCTCATCTTTCATGATCTTGATATAATGTCAAAATGAACAATGCGTGAATGAACAATGGAAATAATAAAGAAATTAACACTGCAACATCTTGTTTTGTTTTTGTCATTCATTTCTGTAATGGTGTCTGATTATATCACAATTTTTAAATAATGTAGAATATTTTCTATAAAGAAAAATTGATTTCCTAAAATAAGTTTAACCTTTGTAATTTCTACACTTAATGTCTAACAAATCTGGAAAAATTAGATCTGAAAATAATTCCTAATTTCTTTACATACACTGTCCATTCATTCTTCAGAACTAATATTTATGTTCAGTAGGAGAGAAATTTCTTGAAATCTATATCAGTCTTTGCATTTCTTCTTGCTTCATTGAATACTCCATAATTTTGTCTTAGATAATTTTTTAAATGCTTCTCCAATTTTTCAAAACTATAAATATCAGTTATTCATTTGTTTGCAGCATATGTTATTAACATATACATACTGAATTATTAATAAAAAAAGTGAATAAGTACTAGTTTCGAGTTTCCTGTTTCAAATGTGAAGATATTTGTTATATTTCTTCAATAAAATATGTAAAACAGTTCCACCAGTAAACTGGTATGATTCATGTTTCTATTAACATGCAGTTCAAAGTATTAGGAGAAATAATTGAATAAGGACATTTATGAACCAATTTAAAGATTCCCCGTTCAATTTGCAGTCTTTTGCTATTTCTTGCTTCACAAATTTCATTAATGGATCTATTATGTTCATCAATCAATTTTTTTATGGTTTTCAATAGTAAAACTGTCAGAATCAATTTAACATAAAGGCACATGTAGCCCATGCCGCAGGCCTCATGCTTTTGTAACGTTTTGTAAAAGTTACTGAAAATTATATCAAGAAAAAAGTTAAAATAAAGAATATAGTTTATCCAATTACCTTAAAGTCAAACTTTACAAAACGGAGATCAGTATCATAATAGGAGCTATACAAGTATTATACAAGTATTGTGAATTCATATCCCACTGTTTTTAATATTTCTATAATTTACTCTATTATATTAAAGAAAAAAAATTAAGTAACCCCAAATAAATTGTCACAGTCAAATACTTTTCGGTGAATTACTTTTACAATCTCATTTGTTTTGTTTTAATTATTACTGAATTCACTAAAAACTTTATTTTAAAATAAATCATACTTTTTCAAGAATACAAGGACTCCTTCCAAACTATTCATGGGCTGTAGCTCCAGGCCTGGTGGCCCTATTATTAAAGTCAACATTCAACTTGGTGCTATAATGTTTGCCAACATGACATGTGATGTGATGTAATGCAGCAATGGCGGATCCAGAAAATATTTCAGGGAGGGGACTATTTCAGTTCAGACCCTATAAATATTTTTAAAATAGTCAAACCTCAATATCTCAAAGTCCCTTCACAAAGAACTTCTTTGACTAACCAAAAACTCAAGTTATAAAAAAATATTTTAGACAGTCACTAGTAATAGCAGTTACTTTTAGAGCATACACAGCAGGCTAAATGTGAGACAATGCTCAAATGTGTAGGTAAAATGGTGATTGCTAACCAAATACCACATTATCTGACCCATCAGTTACTCCAAATCTCTAAGTAAGAAAGTACCCAATGAAGTGATTTGCATATTTGAATTAAAATAAAAGTAAAGTCAGTAAGGCTGTCTAAAAAATAATGTATGGCAGGTGTTAAAATTCATTTTACCACCATATCATAAATAACTGTTAAATATGACCTATTTTGACTTGAAGGCTTATATTTTTCCCCTTTCCCATGCAAAACATGATAACTCGACTGCATGGTCAATTTTGTCTTTCAAAATTGTAGAGAAGAAAATGGTGTAGTGTCTGTGCAGTTGGTATTTTCTTCGCATTCACAAATTTATTACTCGCAGTAGTAATATTACTTTTCTGTTTTTGTGCTCAATGGATAAAATTCGTAAATTACTCAGATGCTCTTATGCCATTTCACTTCGTACATTTTTTATTGTAAAGTGTTATTTTTGAGCATAACATTTGTTAGACTGCGGATTTTCATAACACGGAACACAGCGGTTCTTCCTTTTAATTTAATATTCACTTTTTCTGTTTCTCATTCATTTTTAAATATATTTTTACTCATTCGACATAGGCTCATGAAAGGCACAACCTTCATCGAAATTATTGCCAGTGATTGCCACAGGAGATCGCGTTAAACTATAGTAACTAGACGCGTATATAAAATAATTATCAGCAAATAATTTGTTTATTCGATCACTAAATGTTTTTGTAGGTAAGAATTCCTTATTTAACACTGAAATTTACTTGTACTCAGGGGCCCCAGATCCTCGGGGACCCCTGGACATGGTCCTGTCAGTCCCTACGGAACTTACGCCGCTGACACACTCAATGTCAGAGGAACGACGACCATTCAGTCTTGAAGTAGCAACACATCTACGATACGGTGTTCCGATCGCGTCACTTTCCTGACCGCGCAGACACTAAGCAATGAATCCTTAGAGAAATTTGACCGGTATCACACCCTCCTCTAGTATTCCTCAGACATACGTTCCTTCGAGTAATCAAAAATATTTCCTCTTTAAAGAATTGAAGGTTTCAAGTAATTGAAAAATTCGTGTTATTAAATTTCGAGTTATCGAGAAGACATTACATTGTCATCCTATACACTGCAATAGGCAATGAAAATTTTCTTCGAATTAAAAAAAATATATTATCGACGTTTGTGATATCGAGGTTTGACTCAGTAATTTTCCTTGTTATGAAAATAAAAAAATAAAAAAAATGTTCCGAGTATACGCATGTTGGGATTGCTGCTTTGGATGTGATGAGATCTACACATGGTAATTAGTATGAATAAATTTAGTAAAATTACAATTGGCTTGGTGGAGGCAGAGGTGTGGCAGACATGGAATGGGCGCCACTCATTTAGAGTGTAAAGGCTAAAACAAATAACAGCAACCCTAATTCGAGGTATCCTTTCAGGGGCGCAGA